TCTCTTCCTGTACGTTATCAGTGTATAGGAAGGCAACTGATTTTTGTGGGTTTATTTTGTATCCTACTAGCCATTTCTTTTGCAACAAAATGTCTGTGATGTTCTTGGAACTTGAACTCAGGGTCTGGGCACTATCCCAGAGCTTTTTCACTCAAGGCTAACATTCTCCAATTTAGAGCCATGGTTCTACTTACAGTTTTCTGAGGGTTAATTGGAGATAAGGGTCTCATGAACTTTCCTGCCTGGACTAGCTTTGAATTTAGATCTTCAGATCTCAGCCTCCTGAGTGGCTAGGGTTATAAGCGTGAGCTGGTGCCCAGTCCCAAATACATTTTTATATCAGTATCCTTTATCCTTGTATCAATATCTTTCCTAAAGGATTTTTAAAAATCCTATTTGGGAACTTGAGAATTTGGAGCTTAGTTTTCTCATTTCTTAATGTTTTCAGGGGAAACAATGCCTGATCTGTGGGTATAAGAACTAATGGAGGGCTAGGAAGGTGGCTCAGTGGTAGAGCGCTTGCCTTGCATGCATGAGGCCCTGGGTTCAATTTCTCAGGCACCACATAAGCAAAAAAGAAAAAACCGGAAGTGGCGCTGTGGCTCAAGTGGTACAGCGCTAGCCTTGAGCTGACGAGCTGAGGGACAATGTCCAGGCCCAGAGTTCAGGTCCCACGACCGGACTAAAAAAAAAAAAAAAAAGAACTACTGGAGTAAATGTCTTGACTTTGCTCTAATTACTTTTCATGTTTGAGTTAAGCTGGCTTGGTAGTCAGTTTTTTTAGGCACTTAAATAGATTATTTACAATCACTGCATTAATGCAATGTTTTATTTTAGTGATCATTCAGGATATGTTCGGCCAGTACCAGTGCCACGCAGTTTAAATAGTGATATTTCCTATTTTGGTGTTGGTGGCAAACAGGCTGTTTTCTTTGTTGGACAATCAGCCAGAGTAAGTGAAAATATTTCTTATAAGTGAAATTTGATCAAAATATTTTGAGATTAAGCAGTTTAACTATTAGCAGTTTTTAAAGTACTGTTTTTAATATTTGGCAGATGATAAGCAAACCTGCAGATTCCCAAGATGTTCATGAACTTGTGCTCTCTAAAGAAGATTTTGAGAAGAAGGAAAAAAATAAGGAGGCAATATACAGTGGATATATTAGAAACAGAAAGGTATAATACATTTTAAAACTCACAACTGTAAATTTATTCCTTTGACTAGATAATAAGGACATTTTCTAATTTATTACTAAAATGTTAGTAGTTTTTTTTTTTTAAATGAGAGGTTTTTTATTATCCTAGGCTGGACTTGAAGTTTTAGTCTTTCTGCTTTAGCTTCTCAGTGCTGGATTATATAGGTATTGTGCTGCCATGTGTGACTCTCAGTTTTTTGTTTTTTTTTAACCAGTCCTGAGGCTTGACCTTAAGGCTTGGGCCCTGTCCCTGAATCTCTTCGAGCCCATGACTAGCACTCTACCACTTGAACCACAGCACCACAACTTGCTTTTTCTGAGTAGTTTATTGGAGATAAGAGTCTCATGTATTTTTCTGCCCAGGCTAACTTCTTCAAACCCTGATCCTTACATCTCAGCCTACTGAATAGCTAGGATTACAGCCATGAGCCACCAGCACCTGGCTCAATAATGTTTAAAAACTTGGAAATATGAAATATTAGGAATGAGTTACTTGATGTTCATTCTTTTTCTTTTAATTGTTTGAATAGTAAAAATTATCATTTATCTGCATCCTTAGGCTAAAATCATTAATGTAATAAGTTTTCCTATAAAGCCTAATAAGGTTACATAGTTTTTCCTAGTTTGAATTTGAGCTTTAAAGTCTTGTTATGAAATATATAAACTTTAGAAAAGCACTGATGTAGTGGGGTTTTAGGAAATTAGAACTTGAGAGAAATATATGGGATTTGTCCTACAAATTTCTTTTTAAATTGTCACTTCAATATGGAAAATTATTAAGAAATTTGAATCTTGGAGGTAAGTACATGACATTTATTCTTGTTTCTTTTCTTTTTTTGGATCCGGTCATGGGGCCTGAACTCTGGGCCTGAGCGCTGTCCCTCAGCTCTTCAGCTCAAGGCTAGCGCTCTACCACTTGAGTCATAGGGCCACTTCCAACTTTTTTCTTTTTTTTTTTTGGGTCCAGTCATAGGGTCTGAACTCTGGGCCTGGGCTCTGTCCCTCAGCTCTTCAGCTCAAGGCTAGCGCTCTACCATTGAGCCACAGTGCCACTTCCGGCTTTTTTTCTTTTTGCTTATGTGGTGCTGAGGAATCGAACCCAGGGCCTCATGTATGCAAGGCAAGCACTCTACCACTGAGCCAACTTTCCAGTCCTCCAACTTTTTTCTTTTTGCTTATGTGGTGTTGAGGAATCGAACCCAGGACCTCATGCATGCAAGGCAAGCACTCTACCACGGAGCCACCTTCCCAGCCCTTCTTGTATTTTTTCTGCTTGAAGTATTTTATATTTTTTTATCTTAAAATCTTTTGTGTAATATTGAACATTTTAAAATTGCTTTGTAAGGTTCTAAAATAAAATTTTAGAAATTTTGTTCAGTGTCAGAAAAGTACTGGTAACATTTTGGTGAATTTTCTTGTCCATTTTTTAAGAAAATAAATACAGTTTTACTCCACATTCCTTGAACATTTTGAGTTATGTTTTTCAGTTAAGGTGTTTTTAATTTTTTTTTTAAGGCAGTTTAGATTTTGATATCTTACATTGGGCCTTTGGAAAACAAAATTTTATTAGTTTCCTTGGCTATTTTTAGTATTAGATTTAATGTTATCCTTTATAAAAATAGAACCAAGTATACGAGTACTTATTAGAGGTATTTTCTATGAATTTGATAATAACTGATTAAATATCCAAACTGTAGATGACCATAACAGAATAGCTATAGTTAAAATTTAAGAAAAACTAGCAATTGTCAGGAGTCTTATTCTTTCCATTGCATACAAAATTTTAGTATAATTATGATTAACAGCATTATACCAGCACTTTTAAAGCTGTCCTTACAAGTAGAAACACATGCATACAAGAATTAATAGAGTTTAATAACTATGTCACTGTCTTGTTCTAAACCTAGCATTTTAGAAGGCTTATTTACTTGGAGAACCTAAGTACGTTGACTATATATAGGACCTAGCAGTAGTAGTTATACAGATGTTATACAATGTGTGTCACTTTTCATCTTTAAAAGCTTTGGCTGGGTAGAGTAGATTTAAAGCATTCACAAATCAAATATTTGTTTAACTTAAATTAGGGAAACAGTGTCATTGAACTAAATTGACCTTTCTATTGTACAAGTGTATCTCATATATACAACAATGGCCTAACTCAACACACATTGTATAATTCAGTCTATACTTGCTGGTCATTTTGCATGTTACTAAACTTACCTACTCCTCCCTGTAAATTGTTGCATATTTTTAAAATAAAGCTTTGACATTTAGCCCATACAGTTTTAGTAGAATGTAAATTACAATCACTTAACACTTTATATAAACAGATATTTAAGAACTTAGTTTCCTAAGTAGTTGAAAGGCCTGATAAAATTAACAAAAAACCTAGTTATGTCTTAATGTGATTTGCCAGATTTTACAAATGTTAGCGTAAAATACTTTAATACACAAAATTGGGCTGTAACATCATGCATTGTATCTTGATCCTTAATTCTTTTTGTTGACTTCAAATTATAGCCAACTTAATCATAAATCTTTAAAATTTCAATTTGTATTATATTTAAGACCTACTAATACATTTATTAATTTTCTAGAGTTTGTTTTAATTCTTTTTTTCCCACTTTACAACAGTTAAGACAAATCTTATTCTATAAAACCCTTTCTTTGTCCAAAACTATTTTTTCTTCACTTTACTGTCCTTTTCAAAAAACATTCTCATAGCTTCCTACATCTTTCCTACTTGAAAGAGAGCTTCTTCCACTCTAGGGCTTGAATTTAGGGCCTTTTACTATTGCTTGTCTTTTTTTTGCTCATGCTTCCAGTCCAGATTTTTTGACTGGTTAGTTGGAAATAGTCTCTCAGACTTTTCTGCATCTTGTCTTTAAACTTCACTCATTGGATCTGAGCTTCCTGAGTAGCTAGGCTTGTAGGCATGCACAGGTACCCAGTAAGAGAAATCAGTTGCTATACTTTATGTTTAATTTGATTTTTACAAAATTTTTGAATTCAGACAAAACTTCTAAGAAAATTAAATAATCTTTTTTTTGTTTGTTTCGATCGTGGGGCCTGAGCTCAAGGCTAGCATTCTACCACTTGAGCCACAGCACCACTTCCTGCTTTTTCTGCTTATGTGGTGCTGAGGAATCGAACCCCGGGCCTCATGCATGCAAGACAAGCACTCTACCCCTGAGCACCTTCCCAGCCCCAATTAAATAATCTTACTAGCCTTATTTTAATGAAGACCAAAGAAGAAAGTCTCAGATTATCTTCCTACACGACAATTTACAAAACTATTTGTTCCTAAAGTAATTGGAATATCTCTGCTCAGGAATGGAATTGGAGCATTTTGGTTAAGAAAAATGAAATGTTTATATTTATGAGGGGAGCAACATTGAATCTTGTGATCTTGCAAGATCTTTCAACACTGTTTACTATGCAGCTCCATTTAGAGAGATTCAAGGAAGCTAGGCTCCATTATCTATTAAAATGAATTCTCCTTAGCCATGTCAAGAAATACTCAGTGTTTCTCATAATATAGGATATTGGGAGTTGATTGGTTGTGGCTCGAATAGTGGGTACCCTTTGGCATCTTTAAATTCTCAGGGACTCCCATTTCAGAAGTGGATATTTCCCATGGGGCTTCTTCTTCCCTTGAAGAATAGTCCTTTCTCCAGGTATTTTGTGTTTTCCCTCATGGCACAGGGAACATATCTTTGAATATTGTGGCCCCTTCCTTAAGGCATTTGGCTTTCCATGCCTTGAATTTCCACATGTACAACATTTCCTCTTTAGGTTACTGGAATCAATTTGCTGCGTAGAGTTGTCCTAGGTTCTTCTTCCAGGAGACTTTCCTTTAGAGGGAAGTTTCTCACAGCCAGTATTTGACCGTACTTTCCAGCAAATAATTGACTTGTAATTAACCTCTCTTAATGTGTCTGTCTATTAAATAATTTGTTTTAAATTTTTAAAAATTAAAAAAATTACTGTTTTAGAGGTAATATACAGCAGTGTTACCTTTACATACGTCAGGTAATAAGTACATTTCTTTCCTTTTGCTCAGTATCATCTGATCCCTCATTCTCTCTCATTCTCTCCCTCCCATCTCTGACCATAAGTTGCTTGGTTCATTTTCATTAATGTCCAGTGCAGCCAGTGGGCACTGCTGCTGCACTTTTTCATCAATTTTCCACTGATTCTGTGCCTTCCCCCTACCTTCCCTCAGATGTGCACGTGTATACACCATATGTGAGGTAAAGAATACAAAGTCATATAAAAGTGAAAAGAGATTAAGAAAAGATCCTTTGTTTCCTTGTCTTTGTCCATTAAATCTTGATTGCTGAAATCCTCAAAAGCCAAATTTACTAACGTTTAAAATGGGGTATGGTTCCTGTCTTCTGTTTTTGTAGGATCTTTATCTTTTCCCTTAATCTATCATTAACTGCCTTGTGCATTATATTATTTTTTCAATTAAGCAATAATTCTTTTAATCATGTAATTAAAAAATTTACATTAATACTTTTAATTTGATAATTTCATTTTGGTATATCCACTGAGAATGGTGGCATTTTTCCACTGGTTTAGTTTCATTCCTGACAATGGACATCATCAGTATAATCCTTGACTATACTTTTTTTCAGGAGTGCAACTGACTGAGACTAGAAAGACCAATGTAGTAAATATAACCTTAATAGAATTAAAAACAAAGCTCCCATTTACAGATCAGGTTTCTGTTGTCCAATTTTAATATTGAGTCCACATTGTCCTTTAATCCCTTTCCTTTAAAGTCCTAATTCTTTTTTTTTTGTCGGTCATGGGGCTTGAACTTGGCCTGGGCCCGCTGTCCCTGAGCTTTTCAGTATTTTGAAGCACTACCACTTGAGCCACAGTGCCACTTCCGGTTTTCTGTTTTTTGGTGGAGATAAGAGTCTCATAGACTTTCCTGCTCAAGCTGGCTTTAATCCGGGATCCTCATATCTCAGCCTTCTGAGTAGCTAGGATTACAGATGTGAGCCACTGGCACCTGGCCTTAAAGTCCTCTAATTCTAAAAAAATACATTCTATTAGAAAATTGCCAGGAATACTAGTAATGGTTCCCATCTTTTTTTTCTGTACTTGGAGAGAAAGATGGAAGAAAATGAAAAAAATACAGAGATATACAGCTGCTCTGATTCTCTGGGGAATGGAGTATTCCAACCTCTGACTAAGTTCATTTAATAGAAAAACCTTAGCCTAGTACTCTTAAGGACTGACATCTCCTTTCACCTTAATGAGTAAAGTTTAATAAACACAATGATTTTGTGTGGGGAGATATCTCACTCTTAGCATTGCATTTCTCCACATTTGGGATTTGAACTTCTCTTATAGCTAGGTTCTAGTTGTTTAAGCACTTTTGAAACAAGCACTCATGGAAACAGGATATCAATCCTTAGTAAATGGCCTCCTCATGTAAACCAAAAGATTACTTAGTAATTATTTTGAGTAACCTAGTTTCTGAAATCACTGTCTTCATGTCTAGCCAGAAGGGAAGGAACAAACAACTATAATGAAGAGAATTATATGTCCACTGACACTGGTGGGTAGTGACTAGCTATCCTAAGAAACATACAAAAGATGGCCCCTTAAATTGATTACAGAAGAGGGCGTAATCTCACAATCACAAAAACCTACATGTCTTATATGCCTTATGTCTTTTAACTAATGGCATAACATTGTATACTGAGGTCCCAACTTTTAAGTTCATGGGGTATTTGTACAAGATGGAAAAATTTGGATAGCAAAGGTTACTGTTTTCTCTCTAGTCTCTTAGCCCAGATGCATATGTGAAGATTCGTGTCCAGGAATATGTTTGAACATCTGGTTCCTCGGGCATGGGATGGTTCATGTGAGCCAAATGCTGGCTTGAGAGAGCAGAGACATGGGTCTGCAACTCCTGACTGCAACTCCTTGGCCCTATGAGAGGATGGAGCTAGTTTTGGGGCTAGTGATACTTCAGAGTTCATCTGTGGTGGGTTTTTTTTTTTCCCCCAAGGTCAGGAAAGCCCATCTCCAAAGCATCTGGTGCCATGGAACTGCTGAAATAGACTTCTCTTTCCTTTTTCTCCTCCTCCATCTTTTGTTTCTGTTATCTTCCCTGTCTAGGAAAGAGACAGAAAGCTTCTACCATAGCTAACAGATTCAGACAGTAAAAAAAAGTTTGTCTTATTTTCATACTTGCAAATAATCTATTTCAAAAGAATGTCAGTATGTATACCATTTGTCTAGGTGATAGTTTTCTTGGCCTTTCAGTGTTGTCACAGACTCAACTAGTGTGTTATATTTGGACCATTTTTTTCCAACAGTTTTTTTGAAGATTGTTTTAAAGACTATCCAAATGAATCACATTAAAATTTATGTAGGGCTGCTATTATAATTAAGACGACTTAAAAAAATTTAAAAATTACTACTGTAATTTAAGATGTATTTGTATTCACTTTTGTAGCCATCTGATTCTGTTCACATTACAAACGATGATGAAAGATTTCTACATAATCTTATTGTAGAGGAGAAGGAAAAAGATAGTTTTACTGCTGTGGTCATCACAGGGGTACAACCAGAACACATACAGTACTTGAAAAATTATTTCCATCTTTGGACACGACAATTAGCGTAAGTATACTGGACTCAAATAATGTTGCCATTCATTTTTTTTTTAAGACAAAATATTTCAGATACATTGAAGCCTCTTTGCTATTCTTTTCATCCAATTTCTTTCAATCCAGTATCTAGTATTCTGATATTGGTGTTAATATAGTTCTTTATTCACTCATTTTAAAAATAAAAATAACTGAAGTGTACTGACCATTATAAGAGGTCAGGATTTTTGACACCTATTGTAAAATTAAAAATGAACTTCTCAGTTTATCAACTTCAGCTTTCACTTCCATGTCACTGGTTTGCACTGCTTTTCTGTGGCATGTCGTAATCTTCAGTGCTATCTACTTACGTCTTCCCTAGTATAATACCTTTTTTGAGGGTACTTAGGTTTGAACTCAGGGTTTTGCACTTTCTAGGCAGGAGCTCCCAACTTGAGCCACCACCCTAGCCCTTATATTTTAGTTCATCACTGTATCCTGATAGTCTGTATCAATAGTTTCTATATGTAAATTTATTTATCAAACTAATATATCCAGCCCATCAAAATAGAAGCAGTGAATGTGTTTATGACATACTAATAATACTGAGAATAAATTATTGTGTTTTGTTTAAGAAACTTTTGTAGGTTATATATATACCATTAGACCAAATCAGAGGAGTATTTATTTAATGCATATGCTGTCTTTTTACTGATGACACATATCATTTATTAGTTTTCTCAGTTTACGTTAGTCTGAAATACTGAGTCTTATAATGGGCACATCTGCACAAAAAATAAAAATAACAACAAAAATGTATATATTTTGACTGCTTCTGGCTCTTGAACTCAGGGCCTGGGCACTGTCCCTGAGGTACTTCTGGCTTTTTGGTAGTTAATTGGAGATAAGAGTCTAAAGGACTTTACTGCACTGGGTGGCCTCAAAGTGTGACCCTCAGAGCTCAGCTTCTTGAGTAGGATTACAGGTGTGAGCCACTGGCGCCTGTCTAAAATTCATATTTAAAAATCTTTTCACACTTCCCTCAAAAGTAATTGTACGCAAAATATTTTGTACTAGAGATACATGTGTATTAATGGAGCTTAAATTTTTGTGTCTTGTATAAGAATATAAAATTTTGAGTCCTTTTTTCTTGAGTTTTTTATTGAGAAATTTTATGTCATTTATTTCATTCATTCATTCTTTTTGTGTATTCATGTATTCAGCAGAGGTGGGAAAACCTTTTTTCTGGCAAGATACATTTAGTTATTTATACTGTTATTGGAAGGCCATACAAAATTACCAACACAAGCAGAAAGCCACTGTCAGCCAGCATAGGAGTCAGCATAGGATAAGCATATAGGTCCCATCATGTACCATTCGGTTTTACAGGGCTTAAATGGCCCTTGTTGATGTTCCCCACCCCTAAAAAGGTACTCAAGGTCTCCTGTATGTGGCCCCTGCATGCTAGGCAAGCACTCTGCCACATAAATTATACTTTCAGTTCTATTTGCTTTTAGTTTCTTTTTCTTTTGCTGGACGTGGGGCCTGAACTGTGGGCCTGGGTGCTGTCCCTCAGCTCTTCAGCTCAAGGCTAGTGCTCTACCACTTGAACCAGAGCTCCACTTCCAGCTTTTTCTGCTTATGTGGTTCTGAGGAATCGAACCCAGGGCCTCATGCATGCAAGGCAAGCACTCTGCCACTGAGCTACCTTCCCAGCCCTGCTTTTAGTTTATTTTTCTGATAGGATATCCTTCTTCCTTTTCTTTGGCTGGCCTCAGCCCGTAATTTTTTTTACGTATGGCTCCTGGAGGGCTAAGATCACAGGTGTGTGCTGCCAGCCCTGGATAAAGTCTGGCTAACTTTTACCTGGACTGGCCTCAAAGAGTTATCCTCATATCTTTGCCTCCAGAATAGCTAAGATTATACATGTGTGCTACCACTTTGGCTTAACTGTTTTATAGGGTTTTTTTTCCTACTGAAGAAAAATAGTGTGGATAGAATAACTTGTAAAACTTTAATCAAATCAGACAATGGTTAAAATGTGCCAAACTTGTTTTCAAATTTCTGAGGATATGGAAATACTCCAATCCTTTTTTTCAGTGGTGTTTTCAGGAAAAGTTAGAATACTAAATCTTAATATTCTTTCCTTTTTTCCTGTTTTTCATTTTCGCCTCTTCTAGATTTTTTTTTTTTTTTTGAGATCTCACTATGTAGCTCAGGCTAGCATTAGGTTGTCCAGCAATTCTAATTATCTTACTGTCTTTTTTAGTTGAAATTTATGTGAAGGAATTTTGCAAATGTATAGTTGAACAATAACTAAAGAATTGTTTTGAATAATTCACCAAAATATATTATTTAACCTATATTTACAAAATAAATAAAATTTCTGAAGATGATGGTTTTCAGTAGGTTTATGTTGAATTTATTAGTTTTGTTTGTTGTAGTTTTATTGACAGAGAAGACATGAAAAGTTCTACAATGATGTTTTCCTACTAAGAAGATTATTTGAAGATGTATAAGTCAGTCTATTCCCAGATATTTATGTATTTTCTAGAATGTTCCTAACAACTAGAATTATGAACTCTTGCTTTCTGGGTTTTCTTTATTTGATAAACTATTCTTGAAAGTGGAATATATATAAGCTTTGAAGTTAGGAGTACCTGAATTGAAGTTCATCCTTCCCTAACTCTAATTCTGTTACTTTAAGTTATATGCACTCCTTACCCCCGCTTTTTATTTTTATAAAGTGAGATGCAGTCATACCTGAATTTCAGAATTACTGGGATTTAAAAGTGAATTAAATGTGTTTAAATATTCATGGAGTAGATGTACCTGGAGATGTAACTCAGAGGTGGAGAGCATCTCTGTAGCAAATGTGTGATCTGATATACTAAAACAAAATAAAGCTTGGCACATAATACTCTCAAATTGCAGCAGTTAAATTTTTTTGGTAGATTATCTAAGCTGTAATTTTATGTAATTTTAAAGTATTTAACTTGTCTTCTTTATTTTAGGCATATTTATCATTACTATATTCATGGCCCAAAAGGAAATGAAAAACGTACATCAAAAGAAGTTGGACCTTTCAACAATATTGATATTGATGTAAGATAAAAATCCATCTTAAAGAATTACAGATTATTAGCTATCTGTTCCAGTTCCAAGTGACTCTGGATAATAACTATCAGTCAAAAATCTCTCTTGTCTTTTATTAAGTAATTTGATTATTTGGATACTCAAATAAAGAGATGATTTCTAGATTCTTTTTTCCTGGTCCTGGGGCTTGAACTCAGGACCTGAGTGCTGTCCCTGAGTTTCTTTGTACTCAAGGGTAGCACTGTTACCACTTGAGCCATAGCCCCACTTCTGGCTTTTTTTCAGTAGTTTATTGGAGATAAGATTTCCTGCCCAGGCTGGCTTTGAGCTGCAATCCTCAGATCTCAGCTTCCTGAGTAGCTAGGATTACAGGTGTGAGCCTCCAGCACCTACTCCTACTAGTTTTTTTTGTTGTTGTTTGTTTTTTAATTTATATTTGTTATAGTACTTGGATTTTTTTTTATGACCATCGTGCCTTGAAAGCAAGGAGAAAAGCAGTGTTTGCACACACATACACAGTTTTTCTTTGCCTTATAGAAGTCTTACAGTGATGACAAGATTTATAAGTATAGAATGTTTTAGTTTTGAGTTCTCAGTATCCTTCCTCATCAGTTTTATGTTCTACTTTCTAGAAACTGAATTAAATTTGCTAATGACTTACCCTTCTTTCAGTTTTGATATGATATTTCTTTGCTTTTATTTTTTAGTTGTATATTATTAGGTCAACTTAAAGTCATTTGATCATGTACAAATATATATATATATATATATATATATGCACACATATATTTCATTAAGCTAGATGATTACTTATATGGAGGTAATTTTTGCCTACTTTTTTGTTAAGTAATAGCTGAAATACAAGTCACCATAGAGCTTAATTATATTTTATTTTTATTTTAGATTTCCATGTTTGAAAAAGGGAAAGCACCTAAGATTGTCAACTTAAGAGAAATACAGGATGACATGCAGACATTGTATATAAACACAGCATCTGATAGTTTTGAGTTCAAGGCTCATGTTGAAGGAGATGGTATAGTGGAAGGGATTATCCGATACCATCCTTTTTTATATGATAGAGAAACTTATCCTGATGATCCATGCTTTCCATCAAGTAAGTTTATCTGGTCTGTAAGTTTCAAATGAGATATGTTTTTATGATAGTGATTTTCTAAAATAATGAGTACTACTTCAGGTGTTAAGGTTATGCAGATTTCTGTGTAAATTCAGTTGAGATGTGAAAAGCACTGGCTATAAAAAAAAAAGTTCTTCTCTCTTAAACCTATAGTCAACTAATTGTATGCCAGGTAATCCTTTTCATATTCTAAGATCATCTTACCTTTGTAGATACTTAAAAATAGCTGGGTGCTAGTGGCTCATATCTGTAATTCTGGCTACTCAGAAGGCTGAGATCTGAGGATTCAGGTTTGAAGCCAGCCCAAACAAACCCTGAGACTCTTACTCCAGTTAACCACCAAAAAGCCAGGAGACTGGAGGCATGGTTCAAGTGGTAGAATGGCAGTTTTTGTTGTTGTTGTTTTTTGTGCCAGTCCTGGGGCTTGAACACAGAGCCTAGACATTGTCCCTAAGCTTCTTTTGCTCAAGACTAGCACTCTACCACTTGAGCCACAGCGCCACTTCCAGCTTTTTTTCTTTATGTGGTACTGAGGAATCGAACTCAGGGCTTCATACAAGATAGGCAAGCACTCTACCATGAAGCCACATTCCAAGCCTTTTTAAAAAAAAAATAATTACAGAGGGGTTACATTTACATGTATTAGGTAATTAGTACATTTCCTTTCGTACAGTGTCATCTGTTCCCTCCTTTTCTTTCATTCTCAGTTGTATACTTCCCTTTCATCAATGTCCAGTGTGCCTCATGCTTCACTGCTGCACTTTTTCACCCTTTTTCCCTAGATTCCCCACCCTCCTACAGATCTGCCTGTGAATATACTATAAAGAATACAGATAAAGAATACAGAGTCATTAGCAAAAGAAAAAACAAATTAAGAAAAAAGTCCTTTGTTTCCTATCTTTAGAGTTTGTTTCAGTATGTACATTATTTATATACATATGAAGAGGCACTTGGGTATTGCACCTTTGTGATTCACTCTTAAGACTCTCCTCTTCTAGTCTCACTGTATGTGAGAATCTAGAATCCTGTGTAATTTGTCATATCCCAGTGCATTTTAGATCTAATTTTTACATGTCAGAGAGAATATGTGCTGTTTGTCTCTCTGATCTTGGCTTACCTTAACATGATTTGTTCTACTTCCATCCATTTTCCTGCATCTGACATTATTTTATTCTTTCTCATGGCAATGTAAAAATTCCATTAATATAGGTACCACATCTTTTGGATCCACATCATCTATTGTGGGGCATCTGGGTTGTTTCCATATTTTGTCTGTTGTGAATAATGTGGCAATGAACGTGGATGTATAAGTGTCCTTACCATATCCTGGTTCATGATATGGAATGCAAGTTTTGAGTGAAAAGCTTGCCCAGAACTCGGCCCCAAGTTCAAGGCCCAATACCAAAGGAAAAAAAAAAAAACTTTATGCAACCATCTCTATTCATTTTTCTCTTTATATTTTGATTTTTCTCTTACTATAGAAAGGCTTTTTTATAGTAACTTAAGAATTTAAAATGTTTGTATAGGTTTTTGGCCTTTAAAATCATAATCCTTACTTTTGTTTCCATTTCCTCAGTTTGATAAATATTATATGATCAGAGGCACATAGGCATTGCACCTTTGTATTCCTCCCCTAAGAAAAAAATCTTAACATGTTATATGCAGTATGTTCTATTCCTTTGTTTCCTTTCTGTATATAGAATAGCATAAAGATTTAACTTAATATTTTCCTCGTAGGTTCATTTACTAAACCCTAGGGAGATTATTGAATTTGCACTAAAGTAATGGATTAATAGATAGTCTCACATGCAAGTTTTTTGGTATTTCTAATATTTCCTCAGCACATCCTTAGTGTGGGGTTCTTCAACTGGATTTTATTATTTGAATTCCATCTTCACTATTATCTATTATGTAATTTTGAGCAAACTACTCCCTACCTTACTTCTGTCAAATGTATGTAGTTGTTTATACCTCATAGAACTGTTTAGAGGGTTAAATATGATGCTGAATCTAGGCATCGTGTAACAAACGTTTGTGTTCTCAGTACATTGGAGGCCAGGTTGGGCTACATACCATGACCTTATTTCTAAAGAAAAAAAGAAGCTGAATAGTATTCAGTACAATTTAGTAAGTGTTCAGTATATGTTATATATACTGACTGTCTCTTGTCTTGTATCTGACTTCTGTTTAAATTTGCTATTTCTGCTTTTAGACAGTTCTTTAGATAAGGTTTTCAAAACCAGAGTTTTTAAATTGTGTGTTAACCAAAAGAATGGGTTCTCCTGTAAGAGCAAAGCAATTTGGATGGATTGAAAGAAACTTTCTTGTAAGGCTTCTTGGAAGAAGAAGGTTTTATTTTTGGTGAGGGTATAATACCAGTATACCTAAGGTGCTAATATATCAAGGTCTTAATATTTGGTCTTTGTTTTTATATATCAGATTGTATTGTTAATTACAATTTTTAAAAAAGAAGCAGTACTTCACTTTGAATTTGGTCTTCATGTTTGCTAGGCAGGTGGTCCACCATTTGAACTATGTCCTTAGCTGTTTTTGCATTATTTTTCTAATTGGGTTTCGTGGTTTTGCCTGGGGCTACCCTGAACTTATCCCCTATTTACTCTTCCCTTACGCTTAGATTACAGTGTACATCACCGCATTGAACTTACTAGTTGAGAGGAAGGGGGTCTTGTTAACTTTTTGCCTAGACTAGCATTGAATGTGATGTTCATAATCTCTACTTGCCTAAATGTGCTTTTGATATATTGCAACTTGTAATTTTCATGAAAAAATTTTACATATGTTAATCCTTTGTATATCCCAGATTATCTTTCATGTATATGTGTTTATAAATGTATATGTGTTTATGTTTCATGCTTTTGCAGAAGTGGTTACTTTTTTCTTTAAACTTGAATTTTTGTTGTACTACTAGTTCTGACCTGATTGTGAAATTTACAGTATTCACATAAATGTTTATAGCTCTAGGCTAGCACTCTACCACTTGTGCCACAGCTTCTGGTTTTTGAGTAGTTGGTTAATTGGAGATAAAGAGTCTCACGGGGACTTTTCTATCTGTGTGGGCTTTGAACCATGGCCATCAGATCTCAGCCATGTAAGTAGCTAGATTAACAGGAGTGAGCCACCAGCATCCAGCTGTAGAATATAGTTTTTCATATGTATGACTTTTTAACTGAATAAGATTGGAGATTCAGCATAGATTGGTTAGTATGTAAGTAGTTATGGACTTTAAACAAGAAATGTTAGTAGCAGTGTGGGACCAGATGAGAAATCTCACTTTTCAATAACAGATAGTTAAGCTAACATGAATATTATTATCTTTTTTTTTTTTTTTTTTGTCAGTCATGGGGCTTGAGCTCTGGGCCTGAACGCTGTCCCTGAGCTCTTCAGCTCAAGGCCAGTGCTCTACTGCTTGAGCCACTGAGCCACTTTCATTTTTTTTCTGAGTGGTTTATTAGAAATGAGAGTCTCAAGGACTTTCCTGCCCTGGCTGGCTTTGAACCTTGATCCTCAGATCTCAGCTTCCTGAGTAGCTAGGATTACAGGCATGAGCCACCAGTGCCCAGCTTATTACTATCTTTTAAGTAATTGCAAAAAAGGACTTTAGCTCCTATAGGGTGCAATTTGAAGGGTCCAAATGAATTTGTGCTATTTCTCTGGAGCAGTTATTTCATTCTTTAGTAGAAATTGACTCAGAGGTGAAAATTGATCCTATTTTATAGAAATAAATTTTTTTATTCACTTATCCTTTTGAACTAGAACTAAAAGATGAAGATGATGATGATGACTGTTTCATACTTGATAAAGCAGCAAGAGGGAAAAGACCAATTTTTGAATGCTTTTGGAATGGACGATTAATACCATATACATCAGTTGAAGAGTAAGCTTCACTTTTGCTGAAATTGCATTGTTTTGTAACTTGATCTTTTTTATTGATTGCTATTTTATTTTGTTCAAGCTTTGACTGGTGTACTCCTCCTAAGAAGAGAGGGCTTGCACCAATTGAATGCTACAATAGAATATCTGGTGCATTATTCACTAATGACAAATTTCAAGTTAGTACAAATAAACTTACATTTATGGATCTGGAGCTGAAATTGAAAGATAAGAACACCCTTTTTACAAGGATTTTAAATGGACAGGTATGAATTTTTAGAATTAAATTTTGATAATTACAAATGTTTTTTTCTTTTACGTTAGCAACTCATTTTATAAGTATGATGCATGTTGATAAAATGTTTTATTTTTAAGTTAACCAAAGACACTAGTAGGTTAGGTTTTCACTGATATTTTATGTACTTTCATTTAATTAAAAGATTGTGGTTAAAGAATTGATTATTTAAATATATTTAACTTGATTTAAAATACTGTGCAGCATTTAAATGTATCAAATATTACATGATATTTTATATGTATGTCTATTTTACATATACACACATATGTATTTAAACCTGTTTCCATTTCTTGGAGTTCTTTTCAATAAGTATTAGGCACAAAAGCATTCCATCTTTGTGTTTCTTCATTGAGAGTATCAACTTTATATTTTTGTGCATTAAAAATGTTTTTATGTGTATTTTTTGTTGTAAAGAGACTGTACAGAAGGGTTACAATTACATGAGTAAGGTAATGAGTACATTTCCTATTTAGCATTGTTACCTCCTCCTTTGTTTGTCCCCTACCATTCCTTCCCCCCCACTTCCCCTGACTCCTCCCTACCCCTGCATTAATATTTTTTAAAGGTTTTTTTTTTTATGAGTTTTCAGTTGTCAGTTGTACTCTAGAATTTAAAGCTGATTAATATTTGAATAAGTTTACTTGTATTTCTTAGATCTTCTTATGATATGGATATAGTAAGTAGAAACCTCAGAAGCATCTTCACATAAAAAGAACATAGATGAATAATTAGATCTATATCATGAACTTTTGCACAGTGATCACCTACTTTATCTAGTCTTCTGGGTAAAAATAGAGCTGTGAAATGCGTTTTTCCCATTATGTCATTAGTATACTTTCCTACCAATACACCTGAGCAACTTACTTAGCATACTCTTAGTGTAGTTTAATGTTGAGTTCCCAAGAGATAGATTTCTTTTCTTGGTTGATAGTGATTCCTGGTATTTAAAACCTTGGTTCCAGGTATGATATTGAACATTCCCTCTGAACCTTTTTCCTTTCTTCCTTAATTAATTCTTCCATCTAAATTTATACAGAAGGAATCAGGAAAATGTTTTATTATAAAGGTAACATACAGAGGGGTTACAGTTAACATAAGTCAGGTAAAGAGTACATTTTGGGGGGGGCCTTGTAACCCCTTCCCTTATTCTGTTTTTCTCTCTCATTCTTAACCTACAAGTTGTATAGTTCATTTTCAACATAGTATTTAGTGAGTACCACTGATGCATTTGTACCATTTTCCTTATATTTCTGTGCTTCCTGTTTTACTCCCAAATGCATATAAATGAACAAACAAGACAAAAAAGAAAATAAAAGCAGCAAGTAAGAAAAAACCCTGTTTCCATTTCCTGGAGTTCATTTTAATAAATATTATTTGTATGATCAGATGAAGAATAATATTTTAACTAAGCTTTATTCAGATAGCAAAAGACAAACTCAATTAATGTGCTGTTAACATATGAGGAAAATAAAATATAAAACCACTGATACAGATACTTTATTTTGTCGGTCGTGGGGCTTAAACTCTGGGCTTGAGCTCTGTCCCTGAGTTCTTCAGCTGAAGGTGAGCACTCTACCACTTGAGCTACAGTGCCACTTCCAGTTTTCTTGTGTTTAATTGGAGATAAGAGTCTCATGGACTTTCCTGCCTGGTCTGGCTTTGAACTAAAATCCTCAGACCTCATTCTTCTGAATAGCTAGGATTACAGGCGTGAGCCTCTGGTGCTTGGCAATATTTTATTTTTGTGTATCTAAGGTGTAGTACATGGAAGGAAAAAGGAAATTAGTGAGAAATGTGTAAGGCTATATTTATTTTATATATAAATATATCTTGCATTTCATAGAACATTAAACAAATTGTTTTTGGGCTGGGAATGTGGTTTAGTGGTAGAATGCTTGCCTAACAAGCATGAAGTATCACATAAACAAAAAAAGCTGAAAGTGGTGCTGTTGCTCAAGTGGTAGTATTAGTCTTGAGCAAAAAGAAACTCAGGGATAGTGCTCAGGCCTTGAGTTCAAGCCCCAGGACTTGCAAAAAATAAAATAAAATTAATAAATATTTTTTTTTTTTTACAGGAACAGAGAATGAAAATTGACAGAGAATTTGCCTTGTGGCTGAAGGACTGTCATGAAAAGTATGATAAACAGATAAAATTTACACTTTTTAAAGGAGTAATTACCCGTCCAGATCTTCCCTCTAAAAAGCAAGGCCCCTGGGCAACATATGCAGCAATAGAATGGGATGGAAAAATATACAAAGCAGGACAGCTGGTAAGTTGAACTTTTAGATTCAATTTAGTAGCATTTGAAACTAAATTTAATGTATTAGATTTTCTAACAAAAAAATTATGTATGTAGCCGGGTGCTGGTGGCTCACGACTGTAATAATCCTAGCTACTCAGGAGGCTGAGATCTGAGGATCACGGTTCAAAGCCAGCCTGGGCAGGAAACTGTGAGACTCTTATCTCCAATAAATCACTAGAAAACCAGAAGTGACACTGTGGCTCAAGAGGTAGAGTGCTAGCCGTTAGCTGAAGAGCTGAGGGATAACGCCCAAGCTCAGAGTTCAAGCCCCATGACAGACAAAAAATACCCTCCCCCCACCAAATTATGTAAGCCGGGCACTGGTGGCTCACGCCTGTAATTATAGCTACTCAGGAGGCTGAGATCTGAGGATCATGGTTCAAAGCCAGCTTGGGCAGGGAAGTCTATGAGACTCCTATCTCCAGTAAAGCTCTCAGAAAACTTGGAAGTGGAGCTATGGCTCAAGTGGTTGAGTGCTCCCCTTGAGTTGAAGAGCTGAGGGACAGCACCCAGGCCAAGAGTTCAAGCCCCAAGACCAAAATAAATAAATAAGTAAATAAATAAAATATATGTATAAACTCTTAAGGAGCTAGTAAAGAATAAAAAGGACAAACTGATTTTAATTAGTGAATTAAAGTATTTTTTAAAAAGTCCTTATTATTAAGCCGGGCATTGGTGGCTCTGGGCAGAAAAGTCCCCATGAGATTCTTATCTCTAATTACCACTCAGAACTGGAAGAGACACTGTGGCTCCAGTGGTAGAGTGTGAGCCTTGAGCACAATGAGGCACAGGGACAGTGCTAGGCTGTGAGTTCAAGTCCTACAACTGAGAAAAGTCTTGATTATTGTTACAAGTTCCACTTTTTTATTGCTAGTTTTTAAGGTATTATAATTTCCTAAAAATGGGGATAATGGAAGCATGGACTATGGATGAGAAGAGAATAAATTCAGTGAAGAGAGGATGAAAAATCTTTGGGCAGTTGAAAAAGAAGAGAATTTTTAACTTTGAACGGTGTTGGGGCTTGGAAGGAGAGGAACAAATCATGAAATTCTTTAGGCAAAAGTTCATTTGGGTGAACATTAAAACATAGAAGCTGGGCAACTGTGGGTCATGCCTATAATCCTAGTACCTCAGGAGGCTGAGATCTGAGGATTGCAGATTGAAGCATACCTGGAGAGGAAATCCAACAAATTGCTGGAAGTAGAACTGTAACTCAGTTCCACTAGCATTCTAGCCTTGAGCAAAAACAAACAGCTCAGGACCAACCCACAATAAGATGGGGGTGGGTGGGCATAGGGGTGGGGGCAGGGGAGAGTTTGCAGAGGGAGGGAGAAAAAGGGATACAGGTAAATTAGAGGAAGTGCAGGCAAATAAAGTCATTATATATATATATATATATATATATATATATATATGTAAAAATGGTGCTATGTAATTGAGAATGTTAGGAAAGATGGTGGAGGATAAAGGAAGGGATGACATTAAGATGCATTGTAATCATACTGACTTGTTGAATTGAAACCCCTTTGTACAATTACTTAGAATTTTAGAAAAAGGTAGAGACATGAATCTACATAGATAGATAATTACAAAAGTAGAGGAGCATTTATTTTCCATTAATGTGAGGGGTCATATCATATATTGAAAGTCATGGAGTTGGATGAGACTATCTAGAAATGTTTAATATAGAGCTAAGTGCTGAGGCTTATCTAACATTTAAGGGCTAGAATGTAAAGGAACTGGCAAAGGAGACAAAGAATAAACTCCTGAGAAAAATGGAAACTAGAAGAGTTAGTTTAATGTCCCTGAATCCAAGTGAAAAAATTACTTTGTCAAATGCTTTGTGGACTTGAGTAAAAGCCTTGAGGTGAAGTTCTTAAGAACATAGATATACATAAGCAAGTTCAGCAAAATGGCAAGCAGTAAGAATTGTCCTGAATGGGAACTTCTTTGTACAACTACTTAAAGATAATAATAATAAAAAAAGAATTGTCCTGAAACCTATAGTGTATTTGAGTCAAAATAATTTAGAAATGAGGATGATTAGGTAGATGGGTATAAACTCTTACAGTCCTTTTTGTATTTTCTGAAGTGAACTAGTAGAGATAATATCCTTAGCATTAAGGCAAATACCATAATCAAGTTTTGTGCTAATTTATTTGATAAAAATGTTATTCAACTTTATAAATTCATGTTTATGACATTTGTGTAAAAAAGCTATATTTTAAAAAAAATTGTAGAAAGTGGACAGCCTTACAAATATAATTTTATTAGTATATTAGAATACTACATTAGTATTTCTAATGATAGTTACTAAGGATTTTTGCCTTATCTAAGAGAACTTTATGATGTATAATTACTACTAAATCTCTTTCAGTAAATATTATGACTAATTTTTTTCTTAAACATCTATATATCAGGTCAAGACAACCAAGACACTTCCTCTTTTTTATGGAAGCATAGTAAGATTTTTTCTTTATGGTGATCATGATGGAGAAGTATATGCTACAGGAGGAGAAGTTCAAATTGCAATGGTAAGATAGAAAGTTAATAAATGTAGTTTAAAAAATAATAAAAAGTTTTAAAAATAAAAAAAAGTCTCACAGTGCCTTAAAAATAAAGATATGTCTTTTCTTATGATGCTTTCAACTAGAGACATTGAATTTGTCTTGGTACCACTTTTGTACAGGTGTCGCAATAAAGGTCCCAGTATTTTTTTTTTTTTTTTTTTTGTCTTTTTTGGTACTGGGGATCGAACCCAGGACATTGCACTTGTTAGGCAAGCACTTTGTCACTGAGCTACATCTCAACCCCACAGTATTTTTATTTTTGAATTTTTTCCCATTAAATGAAGTAGTTGTGGTCAGCATGAATTTTTAATTTTTTAATAACCTGTGGAATTTAATATCTGTATGTACAGTCTTTGCAAACACAATAATTTTATAAAGTATGCATTTCCTCTTGGACCTAAAAACGAATGTATATTTAGAATCAGAATTCTACCTCAAGCATGAGTAATTCAAGACTATGGTGTGTGTTCTGTATATCATATTTTGTTTGAATTACAGAGATTAAACTGAGAATAAAAGGGTTAGGTATGTAGATGCCTTTGCAGGAAAAAAACGGATGAGTTTTGTAGCTAAATTTAGTTTTCTTTGCAATGGTGTAAACTCATTTATTTATTCAGGAACCTCAGGCACTGTATGATGAAGTAAGAACTGTGCCAATTGCAAAACTGGATAGGACAGTTGCTGAGAAAACTGTTAGAAAATATGTGGAAGATGAAATGGCAAGGTAAGATAAATTTCAAAAGCATGACTAAAATAAAATTAGGAGAATTGTAGTGCTTTTAAGTATTGCTGCATATATCTCTGATAGTTTTAAGATTTTGGACATGGAGAGGTGAATGTCTTTGACATTAAGGCCTTATTAAGGTCAATTAAGGTCTTATAAAAGCAAACCTTCACTTGTAGCAAAGAAAGGAAATATTCTGTATCTGAAATAACAGTTTTCTAAGGTATTGGAAGGAAAAATAGTTTGGCTTACAACTAAATAAAACATGTCGGGGGAGGGAGGAGTTGGCGGTGGGGAAGGAAGGGATGGTAGGGGTAAAACAAAGGAGGGATAACAATGCTTGATAGGAAATGTACTCATTACCTTACTCATTTAACTGTAACCCCTCCATACAGTATCTTTATAATAAAAAAATACCTATTTTAAAAAATTTGGTGGTACCTTCTTTTAGTGTGTGTATTTAACTCAGGTCTAGGCACTATCTCTTAGCTTTTTCACGTAAGGCCAGTACTCTACCACTTGAGACACAGCTGCATTTTGGCTTTTTGATGATGAATTGGAGATAAGTGCCTCACAGACTTTCTTGCCTTGGCTGGTTTTGCTTTAATCCTCAAATTTCAGCCTCCTAAGTAGCTGGGGTTAACAGGCATGCGTGACTGATATCCAGCTTCATGATACCTTCTGAGAAGTAAAATTAGTAAAAAGAAGTAACTGAGCATCATGGTGGGCACCTGTAATTGTAGCATTATTTAGGAGGCTGAGGTACACAGTGATGAATTTAGGTCAGCCTGGGTTACATAGTTAGGACACTGCCAAGAAACCAAAACAATGGACTGGTGGACCAGATGTTAGAAACTTGCCTTGAGCAAAAAAAGCTCAACATCACCACCCAGGCTTTGAATTCAAGCCCCAGAACTGCACAGAACTCAAAAGTAGGGGGGCTGGGAAGGTGACTCAGCGGTAGAGTGCTTGCCTTGCATTCATGAGACCCTGGGTTTGATTCCTAGGCACCACATAAACAGAAAAAGCTGGAAGTGGTGCTGTGGCTCAAGTGGTAGAGCACTCGCCTTGAGCTGAAGAGCTCAGGGACAGCACCCAGGCCTAGAGTTCAAGCCCCACAATTGACCCCCCCCCCCCAAAAAAAAAAAAAGACAGAATTTTATTCTATAGTCTTCTGGTTCTATGGTTAATGTTGCTGTTACTTTGTTTCTTACTGATTTTTTTTTTTTTATTTTTAGAGTTTATTTTGTGTCCTAAAGGTAACATGTATTTACTGTAAACAGTCAGAAAAATCCAAAAAATTGATGGTTTCTAAGTTGAAATACCAGGAAACTTTTGTCTTTTTTTTTTTTAAAGTAGCCATATCAAGATTAGAATGGAAAACAGTTGTTTATATAGAAAATTGATTTGGCCTTTCAAAATATGCCAACAGTAATTTATCATTGTAGCAACTAATTTTCTAATTAAAGCTGTAATAAATTTCGTGAAACATTAATATGCTGGTTTCATAATAGGCTCCCTGATAGATTATCAGTAACTTGGCCGGAAGGAGATGAATTATTGCCTAATGAAATTAGGCCTGCTGGAACCCCCATTGGTATGTTGATTTCTAGTAACAAAATTGTTTTTATTCTGCCTTAAAAAATATAAGAAATTAGAATATAATGTAAAGACCTAGCAGATTCTTTATGTATAAATTAAGATACTCTCTTAATTTTGAACTCATAGGTGCATTAAGAATTGAAATACTAAATAAAAAGGGGGAAGCAATGCAGAAGCTTCCAGGAACAAGTCATGGAGGATCAAAGAAACTCCTGGTTGAACTTAAGGTTATATTGCACTGTAAGTATATACTTATTTGAATCTTTTGTGTCCATTTAGATACCAAATTTGTGGGTGATTAGCTTTTTATTATTAGCATATATTAATTGTACAAAGAGATTTCTCTGTGGTATGTGTCCAGCAATGCATGTAATTTACTTAGGTCATTTTCATTCTCTCTACTATGTTCTTATTCCTTCCTTTTACAATTTTAATGGTTTTGTTATTCTATTGTTGTACATGTATATTATGTGCTTTGCTCATATTCATTCCCCACATCATCCTTTTCCTTTTTATCCTCTTCCCCTTCTACTTTATAGATTTGATTACAGAATCTCCACTTCACCCAGCAAACTTTTTCTTCCTGCATGGATCTCAGGCATTCATTTTTCTAATATCCTCAGTATCTAGACAGTGCTCTCAGCTCCTTTTAGTTGAGTATTGTCTGGTCTGTCTGTTTTTTTTTGTTGTTGTTGTTGTTTTGTTTTTTCAGGGAAGCTCAGCCACTTGTTTTGTAGAGTGTTTCATGTATTTCTGTTCATTTCTTTGGCATGTTAAAGAGGAAAATAAACTTTTTGCTGGTTTGCACATAGAACACCTCTGACATCAATTATGTCTTGTTTGTTTGTTTTTCTTCCAATATTGCCTAGTTTTCCATTTCTTAGCAGATACCAACAGGGGTGTCTGATAGTTTAACTCAGTTCTGATACTAAGTGCTCCTTAGGTACAGACATAATTGGATAAAAGTACATTACTGTAAGACTGCCCAGTTCAGATACTTATTTCAGGATCATCTCCTCAGATAAGAACATTTCTAGAATGGCTTACAAAACTCAGAAACATTTATTTATATTAGTTATATTATAGTGGGTACAATACCAGTCCAGCTTTCCATACCTCTTCCTCCTGGATGTTATGGTGGTGCCATTATGGTACATATGGTAGATTAATTCATTGCCCATTGATGGATAGATCTTTTTATCTTTTCTCCATTTAATGCCAGGCAGGGTTTAGCAGAATTTCAACTCACATTGTACCTTTTACTGCAACCACTGTCTATCCTTAGATACTTTACTCATTAATAAAAGCTTATGTGGTAAGTTTTTTTTTTTTGGCATGAAAAACAAAAGATATTCCTATCACAGCACTCAGAATTTTAAGGATTTTAGGAATTCTCTACCAAGGACTGGAGGAAGATCAAGTATAGTCTACCCTCTTTATCTTGGTTCTACATCAGCCAATTCAACCAATTTGTGTTGAAAATACTTGAGGGGAAAAAAAAATCGTGTCTGTACACAATGAATACATACTGATTTTTTTCACCATTTTCCTTAAATAATATAGTATAGCATTTATATAATATGTACAGTGTATAGGGCATTGTATGTAATATAGAGATGACTTAAAGTATGTGATTATATATAGTTAATATGCAAATACTATGTCATTTTATATAAGGGACCTGACAATCCATACAGTGTGCTTGGGTCCTAACGCCAATGCCATTATGGCAGGCTGGTATAAAATATATTTTTGACAATCAGTCCATTTAGATTGCTTCATTTTTTTCCACTTTGGATGTACTTTTTTTTTTTTTTTTTGGGTCCGGTCGTGAGGCCTGAACTCTGGGCCTGGGCACTATCCCTCAGCTCTTCAGCTCAAGGATAGCGCTCTACCACTTGGGCCACAGCGCCTCTTCCGGCTTTTTCTCTTATGTGGTGCTAGAGAATCGAACCCAGGGCCTCATGCATGCAAGGCTAGCGCTCTACCACTGAGCCACCTTCCTAGCGCCTGGATGTACTTTTATGTTATCTTCTGTGTAATCTTGATATGACCCTAAATTTCTTTGATTTTGGCTTTCTTGCTTTCTGGCTTAAGGTAGCATAGAATCTTTTCATATATGTCACCCTAGACCCAATTCATCCTGTACCCCTAATTTTTTTCAGTGGGGAATGCTGGTTTAGAGTCTTCAGTTTGCGTATTAGTTAGTATTGCCACTGGGTAAAATTTGTCCTTTACTTTTCAACTGACAGCTCAGAATGATTATTTCTGAAAAAGAAAAGAAAAATAGTATATTTTGTGTTTTTACTTAATTACTTTTATTTTATACTTTTATATCCATTCAGTTATATTGAAAGTCTTTATTTTTTTATTTTTGGTCCTAGATATTAAACCCAGATCTTTGCCATGAAAAGTACATACTTTATCATTGAGCCTATTTGTATGTACATATGTATTAGATGTACTGAGGATTAAACTCAGGGCCGCATGCTTCCGGACAGGCTCTACTTTTTGAGCCATAGCCAAGTCTTTTTGCTTTGTTTGTTTTCCAAATGGACTCTTAGGCTTTTGCCTGGGACTGACCTTAACCCCAATCTTTATACCTCCCCCTCTTCAGTATTGGAAATTTCAGATAGTGTCATAATACCAGACTTTATTTTGAAATAAGTTCTCACTAACTTTTGACCATACTGGCCATAAACTATCTCTGCCTCCACAATAGCTTGGGTTATATGTGTGCACTACCAGGTCTAACCTGTGTGTGTATGTAGAGGAGGAATGTGTGTGTGTAAGTATTATTGGCAGTACTGGGAATTGAACTGAGAAACTCATGGTTGTTATAGACACATGCCGTCCTACTTTGAACTGTGTTCTCAGTCCTTACAGGTTTTATTTTATTTTTGTTTTGTTTTGTTTTTTTGTTTGGTCAGTTCTAGGGCTTAAACTCAGAGCCTGAGTGCTGTTCCTCCGCATTTTTTTTTTCCCCTCAAGGGTAAAGGTCTACCACATGAGCCACAGTGTTCCATCCTGCTTTTTAGTGATTAATTGGAAATCAGAGTCTCACAGACTTTCCTATCCAGGCTAGCTTTCAATCATGATTCTCACATCTCAGCCTTCTTAGTAGTTAGGATTACAGATATGAGCCACCAGCTCCTGGCTTCATTTTTGATTCTACTTTGTTTTTGTGCCAGTCCTGAGGCTTGAACTCAGGACTTAGGCACTGTCCCTCAAGGCTTGTATACCACCATTACAGCAACAGCTCTACTTTGGCATTTTGGTTCTTTTTTTTTTTTTAAATATATTTTTATTTATTTATTTTTTGGGTCCGGTTGTGGGGCCTGAACTCTGGGCCTGGGTGCTGTCCTTCAGCTCTTCAAAGAGCTCAAGGCTAGCACTCTACCATTTGAGCCACAGTACCACTTCCGGTATTTTTTTCCCCTGCCTATGTGGTGCTGAGGAATCGAACCCAGGTCCTCAAGCATGCAAGGTGAGTGCTCTACCACTGAGCCACCTTCCCAGTCTGGCATTTTGGTTCTTAATTGAAGAGAAGAATCTCGTGGGTTTTCCTGCCCTGTGGCTTCAAATAGTGATCCTCAGATCTCAGATTCCTGAGTAGCTGGGATTATAACCATGAACTATCAGCACTCATCCCATTTTTTATTCTTTTGTGCTTTTTTTTGGTTTTAATTTTTAAAATAGTTATTATCAAGGTGATGTACAGAGGGGTTATGGTTACATAAGTTAGGTAAAGAGAACATTGCTGTTTTGACACCCATAGGTTTGTATAATTCATTTCCATTTTTGATTCTTAATAATTGTTTATATACTTTATCCTAGAATGTATTATAATACTTTCAATACTGTAATACTGATGGTATTACTATGTAGTAATTGTTGGATTAAATTTTATTTTGTTCTTAGATACTCTTTTTTATGTGCATAGTGAAAAATTTACTTAAACAATTACTTTTTTTTCATGTGTAGTTATGTCATCTACCTGATATAGTTATGAACTTTTTTTATAAGTATCCAAGACATTTGTATTGTTCTAAAGTAGCAATAAATAAGAAGGAATATTTTGGAGAAGTCATATCATCCCTCTACTTTATTCTTTTCTTCTGCCTTTTTTGCTAGTGCTTGGAGCTTGAGCTTAGAGCTTTATGCTCTACTAGGCTTTTCTGCTCAAGGCTCACTTTCTACAGCTTTAGCCACAGCCTTGCTCAGAATGATTTGTTCTAGTTCCATCCATTTCCCTGGGAATGCCATTATTTTGTCCTTTCTAATGGCTGCATGATATTCCATTGTATATAGATAACACAGTTTTTGGATCCATTCATCTGGTGTAGGGCATCTCGGTTGTTTCCATATCTTGGCTATTGTGAACAGTGCTGCAATGAATATGGAGGTGCATATGTCCTTGTATCTTGGTTCCTGTTGCTTAGGGTAGATGCCTAGTAGTGGTATGGCTGTGTCAAAGGGGAGGTCTATATTTAGCTTTCTGGGGTACCTCCAGACTGCTTTCCAAAGTGGTTATATTAGTGTACATTCCTACCAACCATGCAATAGGGTTCTTCTTTCTCCACACCTCTGCCAACATTTGTCATTGGCTGAATTTAGGATGTGGGCCATTCTGACTGGGGTAAGGTAGTATCTCAGGGTTGTTTTTAATTTGCAGTTCCTTCATAACCAGGGATGATGACCATTTCCTCATGTGTTTCTTTGTCATTTTTATCTCTTCTTCTGAGAAGTCTCTCTTTAGTTCCCTTGACCATTTAATGATTGGTTTGTTAGATTTGGGAGGGATTAGTTTCTTGACTTCCCTGTACATATGGATATTAGGCCTTTGTCTGATATGTTGCTGTTAATATTTTTTCCCAATTAGTTGGCTTTCTTTCTAGTTTGGTTGCAATATCTTTATCTGTGCAGACTTTTTATTTTAAGTTAGCCCCATTTGTTGAGTCTCTCCAATTTGCTGTGGCCTTGGGACTTTCTTTAGGAAGCTCTTGCCTGTGCCTCTAAGTTCAGGTCTTTCTTCTACTCTGTTTTGCAGTAGTTTCAGAGTTTCAGGTTTGATGTTAAGGTCTTTAATCCATTTTGAGTTAATGTTTTTAGTGCACGGTGATAGGCTGGGGCCCACTTTCAGTTTTCTGCATGTGTCCACCCAGTTTTCTCAGAACCAATAGTTGAAGAGGCTATGTTTCTTCCTCTGTATGTCTTTGACTCCTTTGTCAAATATCAGGTGACTATACATACAGTGATTTTATTTCTGGATCTTCTAATCTGTTCCATCGGTCTTTGGGTCTGTTCTTATGCCAATACCAAGCTGTCTTTGTTATTATGGCTCTACAGTAGAGGTTGAAATTGTGATTCCCCCCCTCCCCCCGCATTGTTTCTTTTGCCTAGAATTACTTTGGCTATTCTAGGTCTTTTGTTGTTCCCTATGATTTTGGATTGTTTTCTCTGTCATTGTTTTTTTCTGCCATTAGAATTTTGATTGGAATTGCATTGAATCTGTGTATCATTTTTGGCAGTATGGACATTTTCACAATATTGATTGTGCTTATCCAAGAACATGAAAGGTCCTTCTATTTTCTGGTGTTCTCTTTGATTTCTTTTTTTAGATTTTTGTAGTTTTCACTAATTTACTCTTAGGTTATGGTATTTTTATTTTTTTTGTCGGTTGTGGGCTTGAACTCTGGGCCTGGGCGCTGTCCCTTAGCTCTTCAGCTCAAGGTGAGCACTCTACCACTTGAGCCACAGCACCACTTCTGGTTTTCTGTGGTTTATTGGAGATAAGAGTTTCACGGACTTTCCTACAAGGGGCTGGCTTTGAACCGCCATCCTCAGATCTTAGCCTCCTGAGTAGATATTTGATTAGGTTAATTCCTAGATATTTTATTTTTTGGGGGGTTATTGCAAGTAATTTCCCTTTCTTGACCTTGGATCTGGTGATATGATGGTTTGTACTAATTGATTTACGTATGTTAAACCATCCCTGCATCTCTGGGATGAAGCCTACTTGATCATAATGTATGATTTTTTTTTTAAACATGTTTCTTGATTCTGTTGGCTAAATTTTTTGGGGGGGAGGGTCATTCGTGGGGGTTGAACTCTGGGCTTGGGTGCTGTTCCTCAGCTCTTTAGCTCAAGGTGAGCGTGCTACCGCTTGAGTTACAGTGCTACTTCAGGTTTTCTAGTGGTTTATTGAAGATAAGAGTCTTGTGGAATTTCCTTCCCGGGCTGGTTTAAACCATGATCCTCAACATCTCAACCTCTTGAGTAGCTAGGATCATGAGCCCCTGCCACCCGGCAGGCCAAAACTTCATTGAGGAGCTTTGCCTCTGTGTTCATCAAAGAGATTGGTCTGTAGTTCTCTTTTTTTGTTGGGTCTTTCCTTAGTTTGGGGATGAGTGTGATATTGGCTTCACAGAATGAGTTTGGGATTTCTCCCTTTGCCAGGACTGGCAAAGAAAAAAATCACTTTTTTGTAATGAACTATATGTTAATTTTGAGGAAATTTTTTTAATGGATTTTACTATGAAAATTGTTTTACCAATTAAACTATTAAAACTTAATGTGAAATGTCTTATGAAGATTTGAAATAAAGGAATTTTAATGAGCTGAATGAGTAAACTTTAGTTATTGTTTTTCGCTTGCATAGGGTATACTTTAAGATCTTTTGAAACTTTAAAACAGTTTTTAAAAATACACTACAAATAAAGATAATGACATTAAATACTAATGTGACATCTTACATTCATATTTTGTATTCAATGTCTCAGCAGTATTTCTATTTTCTTTAATTTAGCTTCAAGTGGGAATAAAGAAATCATTTCACATATCAGTCAACACGGAGGAAAATGGCCTTATTGGTTTAAAAAAATGGGTGAGTTATTATTCTGAATGTTAAATCCATTGGGGCCTGCAGATGTATTTTGGTGGTAACGGCTTCCCTACCATAAATGAGATGTTGTGTGTTTTTTTTTAAATTTTTTATTATGAAAATACCATACAGAGGAGTTACAATTACATGGGCAAGATAATGAGTACATTTCTTATCAAGCATTGTTGCTTCCTCCTTTGTTTCCCCTTCCTATCCCTTCCATATTCCCCCTCCCCCCCTGCCAAAGTTGTAAAGTTTGTTTTTCGACATAAGAGATCTTGGGTTTGATCTGTCATCATCAATAACCATAATGCTGACATGCTAGTACCAGGCTGTAGTCCCAGTTCAGGAAGCTGATTAAAAGGACGATCAGTGGAATGCACAAGTACATACCAGTGGGATCTTACCTCACCAAAACAAATTACATGTAAGGTAGAATTGTGCTGACATAAGATTTAATTTGTCATTTATCTAGAAAATATCCAAAAATTGGGGAATTACACATTGAAATTACAAGTTGTATTGAATGAAAGCAATGCAGACACCTATGCAGGAAGACCACTCCCATCTAAAGCCATTAAATTTTCTGTTAAAGGTAAGTAAAATGCTAACATGTGATTACAACTAAAAGTTGCATTTTAAATTCAGGGACAGAAGATATTTTCCATTTTAATTATTAAATGATTTTTATCTCTACTTTAGAATCACATTCCGTCTTATTTTTATAGATATTTTTCCCCCTCTTCCTCCTCCTCCTCCTCCTCCTTTTTCTCCTCTCCCCCCTCTCCTCTGCCTCCCTATAGCTCAGTGGTAGAGCATGAACTTAGCGTGTACAAGGCCCTAGGTTCAATCTCCTCACCAAAACAAAACAATAAACCCAAAAATCGAATAGCTGCTTTGTAAAAGGTACATAATTGTAATGCTTTATACAACACATAATCACTTTTTTCCTTTTCGAGCTTAGCAAATCCTTTCATAACTATTAAGTACTGTTTTTGCCTAGAAGTTCTTTGTCTTAATAAAAAAAAGTTCTGTTCTAATCCATTCGCTGGTGCTCATGCCTTTAATCTTAGCTACTCAGAAGGTGAGATCTGAGGAACACAGTTCAGAGCCACCCTGGCAGGAAAGTCCATGAGACTCTTATCCCAATTAACCACCAGAAGACAGGAAGTGTTGCTGTGGCTCAAGTGGTAGAGTGCTTGCCTTGAGCTGAAGAGCTCAGGGACAGCACCCAGGCCCACAGTTCAAGCCCTACAACCAACCATAAAAAAAAGTTCTGTTCTAATAATTCAGAATTTTAAAAAATACCGTTTCTACATTTGGAATTTCATTTTTGTGTATAGTGTGAAATAAAGTTCTAACTTTCCCACATGGATTATAAATGTTTAATGTATAAGTAAATTTAATATGCCATGTTTCCAGTACATAAATGAGTATGTTTCTGGTTACTTGTGAGTTTTCTGACAAATGAAATTCCTTTTTTGTTTTTGTTTTTGTTAAGAGGGCAAGCCAGAGAAATTTTCTTTTGGTCTTCTGGATCTTCCTTTTCGTGTTGGAGTTCCATTCAATATCCCTTTGGAGTTTCAGGATGAATTTGGTCACCCTAGCCAACTAGTAACTAATATTCAGCCAGTTCTTGAAGCAAGGTAATTTGAAGAGCTGGTTTATATTTGTCTTTTTATATGCTCTTCCTTTGGTTATGTTTATGCATGTGAGCTGAACTGAATTATTATCATTTAAGTGTTTACCTGAATTTTATGGTATTTAGGGATTCATTTGGCCCTATGCTATTCTCTGCAACTATAATATCCTGTATAAATCATTTCAGTGAAGATTATCTTTTGACTGTATTCACATTTGAAGTCATTTAGGTATCTAGGTCTTAACGCCATTCCTTTTGCAACTATGTATTACTTTTTTGGGGGGGGGGCGGAGGGAGGGTCCGGTCCTGGGGCCTGAACTCTGGGCCTGGGCGCTGTCCCTCAGCTCTCCAGCTCAAGGCTATCATTCTACCACTTGAGCCACAGCGCCACTTTCGGCTTTTTTCTTATGTGGTGCTGAGGAATTGAACCCAGGGCCTCGAGCATGCAAGGCAAGTGCTCTACCACTGAGCCACCTTCCTAGCCCCCCCTTTTGCAACTATGATATTATGTCCTGGCAGTTCTGTTAGCTGCTACTGTTTTCTGAGAATTTTTAATGTTTAAACTTAGTGATATTGTAGTTCATTTTGGTGTTTTAAAAAGTCATAAACAATAAAGTTTATATTTACCATTGAGATTTAAATCTTCCCTTAAAATTTACCTTTACTCTAGCTGTGTACCAATGACTCACACCTATAATCCTAGCTACTTAGGAGTCTGGGACCTGAGGATCACGGTTCAAAGCCAGCAGGGCAGGAAAGTCTGTGAGGCTCTTAATTCCAATTAAACACCAGAGTACCAGAAATGGAGCTGTGGCTCAAGTGGTTGAGTGCTTGCCTTGCCACGAGCTGACGAGTTGAGGGACAGTGCCTAGGCCCAGAGTTCAAGCCCCACTACCACCCCCTCCAAAAAAAATAATTTACTCTATAGAATGATATAATTGGCTTACATTAAGAAAAAGCTTTGAGAAACTTAATAGCATGTCCATTGATGTCATTGAGGATGTTCAGTATTTATTATTGCTCTGTTCTGTGGTACTTAGGAAGTTGTTCACAAATCATAAAAGAATGACATATTTCTTCAGAAGTTGTTTTATAAAATGTTAAGTTCCTTTTTGCATTGTTTGCCCAATTTGTTGGTTTGGTTTGGTGCATTTACAATGCTGCAGATTAAACTACATCCTTTAGTGCATGCTGTGTGTATCTTCTTTTATTTTCTCTGCAGTCTTTTCTTTGTGGTGGAGTCATTTACTCTTTGAGCCATTTGAACATGTATTCTAGGCACCTGACAGTTAAAGTGAACACAGATACTGTCTCTAGAAGTCATAGCCAGCCTAGTGAATACGTAGTTATAAAACTGTTATAAAACTATGTACTGACAGGCACCACTGGCTTATAGCTGTATTCATAGCTATTTAGGGTGGAGGTGGAGATCAGGAACATCATGGTTTAAGGTCAGCATAGGCAAAAAGTTCATATGTTCCTATCTTAACCAATTGCTTGGTGCAGTGGTATGTATGTGCCTATCATCCCAGATACATGAGAGATCAGGAGAGGTTTGGGTCAGTCCAGCTTGGGCAAAAAAATGTTCACCAGAACCTATCTCAGCAAAGAAAGCTGGATATGCTTATCTGCCATTCCAGCTAGTATAGGAAGTAGGATAAAAATGGTAGCCTATCTTAAAAATTAATAGGGAAAGGATTGGATATGTTGTAGAAAGCCTGTCTAGCAAGTACAAGACCTTAAGGTCAAACCCCAGTACCACCAAATGTATTCAGAATGAAAAATCTTCAGTTTCATCTTCAAGTTCCAGAGTCATCTCCCACTCTTAGCACCTTCCTTACTGTAAAAGGCATTCTTGTTTGTTTTTTAATTAGAAAGATGAATTAAAGATGCTAATGACACATTTCCAACATATTTGTAAGTAATGGAGTGGAAGTTTAAGAATAAATTTGTTTTTTTCTAGTGGTTTATCTTTACATTATGAAGAAATAACCAAAGGACCAAATTGTGTAATTCGAGGTGTTACAGCTAAGGGCTCTATAAACTCTTGTCAAGGCAAGGTAAGAAATGCACATAAATGTTATGATAGTTCTTTCTTTTTTGTTTTTTATTATGTAGTTGTACAAAGAAGTTACAATTTCACATGTCAGGTTTATGAGGACAATGAATAATTGTTTCTTGGATGGTAAAAATGAAATAGGAAATGCTGTGTTTAATGACCTGTTTTGACAAACAAGGATAGTAACAACTGAGTTCCTTTGAATTAATCAGCTAGCATTATGTCACCTGACTTAGTAATTGTTTCATTTGTAGGATATACTGGAACATTGAATATGTAAGAATTAAATTTTCTTCAACTATATCATAATTCAAAACTTTTTTCAATAGCTTTCAAATTGTATACTTATTCTCCTGCTTTTCCTCTCATTTATGTTTCTTGGAACAAAAGTGACACAGTGGAAATCTTTGGAACTTTACCTCATATATTTAAGCATATTGATTTGGTATTTAAATAAAGGGAAGTTTGATGAGAGATATGGTCAAAAAATATGCATAAATTTGAGTGAGGTTTTTTTTTTATTTGTTTTTTTGCCAGTCCTGGGATTTGAACTTGGGGCCTGGGCACTGTCCCTGAGTTTCTTTTTGCTCAAGGTTAGCACTCTACCTCTTGAGCTGCAGACCTACTTCTGACTTTTTCTTTTAATGTGGTACTAAGGAATCAAACCCAGGGCTTCATGCATGCTAGGCAAGCACTCTACAACTAAGCCACATTCCCAGCTCCTTGTGGAAGGTTTTAATAAGCTGCTTTCTCCTTTAATTTCTCAAATCTAGAAAATAGCTAATTGGGAACACTGGTTAATACTTCACTTTCCTTCCACAATATCATTGCCATTAATTTAAAATATTTTTCCTATTAATACAATGTTTAAAATAAAGCATATTGTTGTGGACTGAATGAAACAAATAATGGAAGGGGCGGTAAGAAAGAAGGGAATTATACTTAACCTCGTGTGATAGATAATAGCCAAAGCTTGGCACCAAAAAATACTTTATAAAACTACCTCATGCTATATGTATGAGGTGAACATAAATTAATTTTCATGTTTACTTTTGAGTCCCATATGTCCCATTCCCAAGATGTCTCATTATATAACTAAATATTCTAAGATCCAAAAATACTTCACAAAAACATTTTAGATTTAGGGTAATTAACCTATATATGCTACTTTGTAGTCAATCAAGTTAAAGATCAAACACACATTTCTTAATTGAGAGTTTTCTGGAAATAAAGTGAAATTTCTGGCAAATTTTAAATCAGTGATAAACTTAGTAGACTTGTAGGTTTTTTTTCACTTTTACTTTTAAAAATCTTTAGGTTAATCAAGGGGCTCTGAGATAATATAGAGCTATGTAGAAAGTGTATTAACCATGTAAACTTATCAAAACCATCAAATTCATGGAGACATATTATTTACAGAATAGTGGACTTTATATTCAGTATTGTTATTATATTCAGTTATTGTTACTTTCCAGTTCAGTCTTTCTCCAGTGAAGTAGTATAGGTTAGTATGTCTTGAGTCCCTTAAGGTAATTTTAGCATATAGAAAATTGGTAAGTAGATTGCTGTAAAGATGTTAAAATGAAAAACAAATGGAATTGAAAAATAAACTGCTTAAGTATGTATTTAGGACTTTGGTTTAATTTTTACTATTTTTTTCAACAGAATTTTAACTTGAAGGTGGTTCTGCCAGGTTTAAAAGAAGATTCTCAGATTTTGAAAATTAGACTACTACCTGGTAATATTATTTAATATATATTCTGAATACTTATATTCCAGGGATGTACTTATTAGGCTAATCTCAGGCTAGGCCTATCATTTACCTGTTGTTGATATATAACTTTTATATTTTAAGAAGAAAATTTTTTGATTTCATTTATCTCAAGTTAAGGAGGACTAAATTGAGAAAAGGAAGTTGCATTAAAGTTACATGCAGTACAAAGTGCTAATTAAGAAATAATCTGTTGTAGCTGATGCTGGTACTTCACATTTGTTATCCAAACCTGGTAAGAGGGTCATAGTTGAGGCCAGCCCTTGAGACTCTCATCCCAACAGAAAAAAGCTGGACATCGTGGTGTGAACTTGTCATTCTAGCAAGAATGGGAGGGGAAAATGAGTGTTTTATACTAGACTAAAGTGAAATGGTTGTGGCTGTCAGTCCTCAGTTCACATTTCAGTACCATTCCTCACAAACAGAGAAAGGAAATCTATTATAAGGTTCAAAGTGTATTTAGAAATTAGACCTTTGGATTTGAATCTAGGTAGTTTCACAGTTGCTATCTCTTCAGAAATCAAATGAAAAAAATACCTTCTCATATAGGGTTACTTTGAGTAGTAAATAGATTAATACAGATAGTCCTCACCTTGCATGATTTTATAGCAATGGAATAGAGGACACAATGCCAGTATGCATGAGTTTTCATTAATAGTATAATGTTAAAAGAGAGAGAATGGCCTGTATCTGTGAAACATTTAAAATACTGCTTTACTTGTAAGTTTGGGCTGTAATATAACAAAAGTTGAAGAAATTTGGTCCAAAGTGATCTCCCTCCTCACACCCCTAATACTCGGGGCTTGAACTTCATAGTATACTTTCACTCCGCTTTTTGGTTTTTTTTTTTTTTTTTCGGTCGTGGGGCTTGAACTCTAGGCCTGGGCGTTGTCCCTCAGCTCTTAAGTCAAGGCGAGCGCTCTACCTTGAGCTATAGCGCCACTTCCTTCACTCCGCTTTTTATGTTCATGGTACTATACCACTTGAGCATACCTCCACTGGCTTTTTTGAGAAGACTTTTTTGCTTGTTAATTCTCTATCTAGACTGGTTTCTAATCTCAATCCTCAGATTTCAGACTCCTGACTATCTCTGATTTTAGGCATCAGCCATTGGCCCTTGTCTTTGTAAGTGATCTTTCGTGCTGGAAAAACATTATCTTGTTTACCTTCATAATTTCAAGTTGAGATTTCCCTCAAGAGAATTGATAAAGAAGTGAAAATTTGCATATAGACAAAAGTTTAAGAAAATATAATGTATTAATAACATATGCTTTATTTTACAGGTTAAACTTGAATAGATTGGGGTAGTAAATTTTTTTGTTGTTATAGAGAGACCACACAGACATAGAGTACAGCCAATTGAAAGTCTTTATTACCAGCTGGAACTACACTGGGCAGTTGGGTGCCCAAAAGTTCAGGGCCAAGCCTGGTTTCACAACCTCTTTTAAAGCAGAAAACCCACCTCCTTGTTTTCTCAGGGGTGGAAAATCCTTTCTTCTTTGCTGCAGGTGTAAACCAAGTGGGAAGTTACAGAAGCGTTAGCAATTTTTGAGCAAGGGCAGAATGACCCATTTCTATGATTGTTTCTATGACCATTACCTAGGAACATAAACAAAACTGGACAATGGAAACATATATCTTAAAATGTCAAACTATAAGGAACTAGTCTCACGGGTGGAGGTGCAGTCCTTTCTTAGATGGAGTTACAAAAGTAAAATGGAGTTACAGAAGCTAAGAGTAAACTCCTAAGACTGTGCGCTATTATATTTTATCTTTTTAAAACTTTTGTGTTTTTTAAATCTTATTAGTTATTCAACATCAGTTTATAGTATAATTTATCAATGCCACTCTTTGGTCACTCCTGTAATCATACTCATAATCCCTTCAAGCCCAATCCTTCCCTTCAGTTTTTCTTGTTTCATAGGATATGCATTGAATATTAGGATTGCATTTCCATCTTGGTCCTTATTCTTAATAACTTGATATTTCCAGTATTTTTTTAAATTTAAGAGCAAAAATTATAAATTAGGACATATCCAGATGAAAATAATGAAAAACAACTACAAAGAAAAACCTCTTGTGTCCATGTCTTGGAGTTCATTTCATCATTTAGCATCATTTTTTTTGTTGTTGTTTGTTTTTTGGGGTCCGGTGGTGGGGCTTGAACTCTGGGCATGGGTGCTGTCCGTCAGCTCTTCAGCTCAAGGCTAGCACTCTACCACTTGAGCCACAGCTCTGCCACTTCCGGCTTTTTTCTTTTTGCTTATGTGGTGCTGAGGAATCGAACCCAGGGCCTCAGGCATGCAAGGCAAGTGCTCTACCACTGAGCCACCTTCCCAGCCCATAAAATGGACTTTTTCTAGATTGTTTAGATTATTGGAAGTTTACATAAGAACTGTGTGCTTAATTAAAACTTGACACAATATTTAGCATATAATAAGTAATAAATATTAGCTAATATTATTACAAAGCAAATGTTTTTACTATATATGCTTTGTCATGTTTGTTTATTCATTCAGTTTGGGGTTTTTTTTGGTGCTGATAGTTGGGTTTGAACTCAGGGCCTAGTGCTTTCACTTAGCTGTTTTTTCAAGGTTGGCTCTCAGCCATTTGAGCAATACTTTCAGATCTTGTTATCTTTATTTAACATAAATTAGGTTTAAAAATATTAATGATAAAGGAGCATAAACCTTGTTTTATTAATCTTGTACCAAACTCGTGTTATATGTGTAGACAACATAGTAGGCAATCTAATAAGTAAATTATTATGCTACTTCATGACCTGATCTTTTAAATGCTTAAAAGCAGACATGTTACTCCTTCTGTTGGGGAAATCAGGGATTTTATAAAATTAAGAGTTGGTAAATACAAAGTCATTTCATAAAACTTATTTTTCTCTTCAATATTTTTCCCCTCAAGATATTAAGATTTTTACTTTTATAATTGATTTCTAGCCTGAGTTACCACTGAGCCATAGAAATGTTTGAGCATGGTTGGGAGCCAGTGGCTCATGCCTGTAATCCTAGCTTCTTAGCTAGGTGAGATCTGAGAATTGGGGTTCAAAGCCAGCCTGGGCAAGAAAGTCCATGAGACTCTTATCTCCAGTTATCACAAGAAAACTAGAAGTGGTGCTGTGGCTCAAGTGATAGAGTGCTTGCCTTAAGCTGAAGAGCTCTGGAACAGTGCTTAGGCCCAGAGCTCAAGCCCCACGACCACCCGAAAAAAAAAATGTTTGAGCATGTACATTACATGAGCTTTTTTCTTTCTTTCTTAGCATTATTTTTAAATGTTAAATCTTTTTTTTTTTTTTATGGGTCCAGTTGTGGGGCCTGAACTCTGGGCCTGGGCACTGTCCCTCAGCTCTTCAGCTCAAGGCTAGCGCTCTACCACTTGAGCCACCTTCCCTGCCCCCCTTAAATGTTAAATCTTTGATTGATATTTTAGTACTTTAGTTGTTGAAACACATTAAATATCGAATTCATTATTATATATTTTTTTGTCTTTAAAAAGATTTACAGATTTTATTCCAGGTATTAAAGTAAAGAAATACAGAATAATGTCCACCAGCTAGTGTTTATATACAAATAATGTAACAATAGAAATTTCCTCTTGAATGTCACATACTAGAGATTGTTTTGATTGTTACTAATTTTATCTAATAGTTTACTTATTTCATACTGAAACATTTGGAATCACAGGTTGCCTGCTTACTTGAAACTGGGTTAATTGGAATCACTGGGTAAGAGGAATGTTAATACCTCTATATTTACAGTATTATTATATCATTTCTTGATAGGTCCCCCTCATCGTTTAAAAGTTAAACCTGATTCTGAATTTTTGGTTATAGAAAATGGGACAGCTTTCCCATTTCAGGTGGAAGTTTTAGATGAATCAGAAAACATAACAACACAACCAAAACTGATTGTTCATTGCAAGGTAAGATTGTTATGATAAAGAATAATTAGATTTTATTTTGATTTCCATGATAGTAAATGGCAATGACTATATCTTTTAGTTACTTTATGGTAATCCTGACACCCTTACACAGTATTGAGTCTTTATGATTAGTTGAAAAATTTGGATCTTTTTTTGCCAGTAGTAACCCTAAGCCAGTAAACATGCCAGCTTTGCCTTGTTTCATGAAGAAATTTATGGATGATAGTCTTTTCCTTGTTACTGTGTCTTTACTCATTTTAGATGAAGTACTTTGTTTAATAATAGAACAGTAATGGTATCTTTCAGGATTAGCAATGGATACATAAATGAAAATGGGTAAAGACCACAAAAAGGAAAGGAAACCCAGTAAAGTGAAAAGAAATGAAACAAGGTTAATGAATATGCTTTTCCTTCAAAGAAAAGATAAGCTGTATTTATCATTGTACAATTATTCTTTATGTTTAGAAATCCTAAAATTTTGAAATTTTCTCAGAATTTTTCAGTTTATAGCTGGAAATAGTAGTTGTAATGAGTTATTTGAAAATTTGAATAAAGTAACATTTGTTTGGGTCTTCAATTGTTTTTCATTCTTCTAGTTTTCAGGTGGTCCAAACCTTCCAGTTTATGTTGTGGATTGTAGTAGTTCTGGAACTAGTATTTTAACAGGACCTGTAATTCAAGTTCAGAATATTAAAAAAGACCAGACACTTAAAGCAAGGATTGAAATACCTGTAAGTTGTTTTTCTCATTGATAATGTATTGCATTTTAATACAAAGGTCAAAATCCTTAAACAAGTGAAATGTGGTTCTTTTAGCACAAGGGGAGAAAAGATGATATAAAGTAGAACTGTGACATTTTGTATCAAATATTAGTATATTATTTATTAGACCTCTTACAGTATCTATGGTTATTATTCTTTTACATTTTCTCCAAACTATTTTTTAATATTAAAATACACCATTTTACTTTTTTTTTTTTTTTTGCTGTACCAAGGCTTGAACTCAAGGCCTTGGAATTACTCAGCTTTCTTGCTTGGCTGGAGCTTTACCATTTGAGCCATACCTCCAGCTCTGTTTTGTTCTTTTTGAAAGTAAGTAAAAGACCCAATTTGTTTTCTTACTAGTTGTTTGTTCTGTTTTCTTAGAATATTTAGTAAATACTTACCTTAACTCTCCCCTGAAATATATGTGAACCTTTTACCTGTGTGTATAATCCTTTGTAAATACATTCTAAAAAAATTAGTGGGTTTTGTTTTTTGTTTTCATTTTGCTTTTCATGTTTCCATTTCCTAGACTTTTTGTTTTTTCTTTATAACAGTTTTATTTTGTGTATAAGCTAGCTTCGAATTTGGGATACTTCTGCCTGAGCATTCTAAGTACTGTTTTGTATATCGCCTCATGGGCCTGAAAGGAGGACTCAATTTCTGTTTCTTTGGTGGTACTTGGGTTTGAACTTAAGGCCTCCTGGTTGCTAGGCAGATAATTCTTCTTAAACCATGCCTCCAGACTTTGTTTTGCTTATTTTTCAGGTAAGGTCTCATGGCTTTTTCCCAGGCTGGCTTGGACCACAATTCTAAGTAGCTATGGTCACAATAACGAGCCACTGTTCCTGGCCCATATTTAATAATCACAATTTATTTATTTATTTTTTTTCTGTGCTGGGGATCAGACCAAGGTACTTGAACATCTTAGGCAAATATTCTACCTTTGAGATAACTTCCTTGCTCTTGATAATCTTAAAATGTTTAGAATGCATTTCCTTTGCGGAGTAGGGAAGACATTTTTTGTTGTTGTTGTTGTGCAAGTATTGGAGCTTGAACTCAGAGCCTCATGCTCTCACTTAGCTTTTTCATTCAGGGCTGGAGCTCTACTACTTGAGCTCTAGTTCTACTTTTGGCTGGTTAAGTGGAGATGGTTTTCATGAACTTTTCTGCTCAGGCTAGCTTTGAAATGCAGTGCTCAGATCTCAGCCTCCTAAGTAGCTACAATTATAGACATGAGACATTAATTAGTGCCAGGCAATAGTTTTAAATTGATTTGAAATCAGTGGGGAAGGAATCCTTTTGGTCTAAATAAACTTCTTTATGTATTTAAGAATATAACCAATATCATTATACCTGATGATATAAAATGTGGGATTATTACTAGTACAATGATGTTAATAAGAAAATCTGCAAATATAGCAGTATCAAATGATCTGTCATTTAATAATGGAACTAAATTCTTCAGCAGTAATAATAGTTTCACTATAAAATTTTAATGCCAATGTCATTCAGTCTGTGTCACTCAGTGTATATTTTTCTCTTTTCCTAGAGTTGTAAAGATGTGTTACCAGTAGAAAAAACTATTAAATTGCTTCCCAGTAGCCACGTTGCACAACTACAGATATTCAGTGTAGAGGGACAAAAGGCAATCCAAATCAAACATCAGGATGAGGTTAATTGGATAGCAGGTGATACTATGCATAATCTTATTTTTCAAATGTATGATGAAGGAGAAAGAGAAATAAATATAACAGCGGCTTTAGCAGAAAAAATTAAGGTAAGTATCTCAGATTGTTTCTTTGTATAAAGAAATTGATCATTTTTGTTTGGAAGACTAAGTTTTTGTGCTTAATGATAACACTGTACCATGTGAGCCATAGTTCCCCTTCCAGCTTTTTGGTGGTTAATTGGAGATGAGTCTCACAGACTTTTCTGTCTGGAATTTGAACGAAAGTTCTCAGATTTCAGTTTTCTGAGTAGTTAGGATTACTGATGTATGCCAGCAGTGCCCAGCCTCTTAAGAAGCTTTATAGACAAATGCTATTATTTAAAATTCTTGGAAGTGGAGATATGGTTTGAGTTGTAGAGCACCAGTCTTGAGCAAAAGAGCTAAGTGAGAGTGTAAGGCCCTGAGTTCAAACCCTAGCAATAATAAAATGAAATGATGAAATTCCGTGTGAGTAATTCAGGTTAACTAAGAGCATTGAAAAAAATAGCCTACACTGAAATGTAGATGACATTAGATGATGTGACAGTTTTGTACTTTAAAAAAGTGGTTTTGATTCGTAAGAAAAATTTCCAACCTTGGCATTTGATTTAGTTTTGTATTTCTTAATTGGATATACCATTGAAATCACTAAGATGATCAGTTTGCCAAATGACATATTTGTTGCTCTTCTGAAGACACCAAAATATTAAAAGCAAATAGAAATAGGGTTGACAATAGTACCTTTATTTGGTCATTTAAAATTGGTATATCACTCTGTAATAGTAACTTTTGTTGATTTTCATGGGCTGACATGTAAAGATAACATTTAGGCCTTAAAAGGAATGAATTTACATAGTTAACAACTCACTGAACAGAAAATAAAATAAAAACTGTTAGGTTCTTACCCTATAAAATAACTTCGTAGCATTGCTTTTTTTTTTTTTGGGGTCCAGTCATGGGGCCTGAACTCTGGGCCGGGGCGCTGTCCTTCTGCTCAAGGCTAGCGCTCTACCACTTGAGCCACAGCGCCACTTCTGGCTTTTTTCTTTTTGCTTATGTGGTGCTGAGAAATCGAACCCAGGGCCTCTGGCATGCAAGGCAAGCACTCTACCACTGAGCCACCTTCCCAGCCCCTGTAGCATTGCTTTTATGGTTGATTGAAATCATGGGCAGCTTATGTTTGCTTCTTTCAGAGTCCTCTTGGTTCTCTGTAATGACACAACATACTTCCTAAAAATGATTATACTTAGCTAAACCAGTCAGTAAAAATAAAAATCACAAGACAAATGGGTGGAAGAATTAGAGAAACTGCATTGAAACTTGATTAGAAAGAATAAGGAACTAGTAAAATAGTAGCAAAAGCAGGAATAACTTGTAAAATATATCAATGAATACAGCAATAATATGGCATTTTACCTTCTCAAGGCAGTTACAGGAAGGATTGCTGCTTGTGAGTTACTGTGAAATGGATAAGGAAGGTTACCTGAAATTGAATGGAAAGTTATAACATATATGTGGATGAGTGTGGCTTATAATACATAGCCAACTGAGGTGACTGATAGTTGTCACAATATCATTTTGTGTGTTCCCTGTGGTTTAGTTTGGAATGGTTTTGTTTTCACTTAGAGGGTTTTCTTTCTGGATGAAATTATGCTTAATAGTAAAAGTGAAATTTATTTATGCTTCAGTTGTTCCCTAATATAACCATTATAACAGATTTGTACTTTCAAATCTAGCATTGACCTGAGGTATTACATTGGTAGATAACTTTAACTTTTTTCCTTGTCTCCTGTAGAGATAAAACTCTTTAAGTCCTAAGAGTGAGAACATAATTTTTTTAAACTCCAGATTTCATTGAGGCAGTTAAAGGTCATCAACATTTGTGACCCCTTATATAAGGGATTCTAACTAAATTTTTGGAGCCTTGTCATCTTGAGACATAATGTTATACTCTTGAGTATACTCCTGAGTTTCCAATCATAAAATCTTGTGATGTAAAAAGATCATTTAGCAGGGTTTTTTTTGTTGTTGTTGGTCGTGGGGCTTGGGCGCTGTCCCTGGTCTTCAGCTCAAGGAGAGCACTCTACCACTTGAGCCACAGAGCCACTTCGAGCTTTCTAGTAGTTTATTGGAGGTAAAAATCTCATGGATTTTCCTGCCCGGACTGGCTTTGAACTGTGATCCTCAGATCTCAGCCTCCTGAGTAGCTAGTAGCCACCAGCACCCGGCTATTCTAGTAGGGGTTTAACTGACCTCTTCTCTAGCTGTTTTATTCTTCATTTCATAACAAGAAAATGGAGGATTAAAAGAAAAATAGTTCTGATCCTGCTTGGAAGGGAGGCAAGTTATTTTTCTCTCAACAGGTTCAAGGGCAAGTATGGTATAAAAGTCTTATCAAGAACCTTTGAAACAGTTTTCTTTTTTTCTTACTGTAATACCTTCACTCACAAAAATAATCTTACCACATACTATATAGTGTTAGTGCATGTTGGAGGGATATCATTGATTTTAAATTATGTACTTGATTGCCAATTGAAAATACTAAATGCCTCTTTAGAGACTTAAGCCAAGAGTTAAAGGAGTCAGCCTGAACTGAGCTAGACCTTCTCTAACAACTGGAAGAGAAAGACTTTTTTTTTGTCAGTTATGGGGCCTGAACTATGAGACTGGGCACTGTCCCTCAGCTCTTCAGCTCAAGGCTAGCGCTATACCACTTGAGCCACAGTGCCACTTCCGGCCTTTTCTGCTTATGTGGTGCTGAGGAATCGAACTCAGGGCCTCATGCATGCAAGGCAAGCACTCTACCACTGAGCCACTTTCCCAGCCCAGACTTTGTTTTTTATATGTAACTCCTGCTTGTTTATTCTTCATCATTAGGGCAACTAACCTACAAAACAACATTAGGATGTTAGTGATTTAAAAATCAATTGGGCATGGTGGATCATAGCAGCTATTCAGGAGTGGTAATCAGGAGAATCACAGTTCAAGACTAGCCTTGGCAAAAGTTGTGCCCAAGACTGTCTCAACAAATAAAGTGGGAGTGGTGGTGCATATCTATAATCTCGACTACTTCGGAGACCTAGGAGGGAGGATTATAGACTTAAGAGTTGGTCCAGGCAAAACACATGAAACCTAATGTGAAAAACAGCTAAAGCAGAAAGGGCCATGGGTGTGGTTCAAGTGGTAGAGCTCTTGACTATCAAGAATATGTCTCTGAGTTTAAAAAAAAAATACTGCCAAATGGTGAATTATTGAGGGAATGAATGAATGAATGAATATCACAACTATTGAGAGATAACATCTGAAAGTTGGACTAAAATTCTTAAATAGAAGAGACTGAAAGTTTGAAAGTAAGGGCTGGTATTGAGGTTCAAGTAGTAGAGTGTCTCCCTAGGAAATATGAGGACTTTAGTTTAAAGCCCATTATTGCCAAACACAATAAACACAGAGAGAGAGATGAAGAAGAATTAAGTAACAAAATACTTAATTCAAGTGGCTTGAAATCTATACCTAAAACCACCTTAGAAGGGATTAAGACCAAAAGATGACCAAAATTTTATCAGTGGACATAACTTCTTTTCTCACCTTGCCTATAAAAGGTAAGGTCCACATAGATGACTTGCAAAGTCTCTACACATATTTCTCAGAATTGATCACATAATCACTTTTTTGAGACAGCATCTTGCTAGGTAGCTCAAGCCTCAGATTCATTAACATGTTACTATAGCTCATTGTACCTAGGTTTATTGCTCTGAAAAGTATAGCAGTATTAATAGCAAAGACAATAAATAGTTTTTTGTAATTGTTATATTTGAATCACTATCATTTATGATAATAAAGGGATTTATTTTCTTTAGTGATAAGGAGAGTGGATTATAATTTAGTTTTAAGGATCTTCAGTAAGATAAATTGCAATAAAAGTTCATTAGGCTTAGCTTTGTGTTGATTCTTAATACATAAATTTTTTCCTAGGTTAATTGGACTCCTGAGATTAACAAAGAAAACTTACTACAGGGTCTACTTCCTGATGTACAAGTACCAACGTCTATAAAAGATAAACGCTACTGCCAGGTCTCATTCCAAGATGATCATGTATCTTTGGAAAGTGCATTTACAGTAAGGTTTGTAAACTTGGGCAAATTTTGAAATGTTTTAAAATTCACCATACAGAATTAGAAATACTGCACTGTGCACATATCTCCTTTCCTTTTCTGATAGTACTGGGAGAAACTTATTTCTATGATAGAAAACACTGCAGTTTCTATGAAACATGGGCATTAATCCTTGGAATAAGCTTTCAACATAGATAGTGATTAATTACAGCATTAGTATAACCCTACACTGAATTATCCTTCTATTAAAAGAACTAAATTTTTTTATTAAAGAGAAGTCTTCTCATTAAAAGTAACATCAGAGCAACTGCATAATGACAAATAATAAAGATAAAATGTGATTGGTAATGTGTTCAGAGGGAAGGATTCTGAGGCTAGGAAGGTGACTTAGTAGTAGAGTGCTTGCCTTGCATGCATAAGGCCCTGAGTTCGATTCCTCAGCACCACATAAGCAGAAAAAGCCGAAGTGGCGCTGAGGTTCAAGTGGTAGAATGCTAGCCTTGAGCTGAAGAGCTGAGAGATAGTGCCCAGGCCCAGAGTCCAGGCCCTAGGACTGGCAAAAAAAAAAAAAAAGAAGGAAGAATTCTGTGATTTGCTAGAGAGGGCTTTTAAAGCTAAGTCCAATTAGAATACATAGGACTCCTGGAAATGTATGTAAATTTGTAAATCTTTGTCTTCTTTGTTAGCCTATCTTTCTTAACTCTTTTCTGATAACTTTCTGCATTCTATTTACTACATGCCTTTCCATCCTACTCCCAACACATACTATAAGCTTGAGATAGTAATTTTGCATTGTGTCACTATGAGCATAACCAACTTTCGTAGTAATTTTTACTCATCTATTTTTTTGGTACAGTTTTGTCATAATTTCCTTTTAACCTAGTATAAATACAGTGACTTTACATGTCTTTTGGGTTGATAACTATATTCCATAAATTGAAGAGTATTTAGAGAAGGATGCCATTGTATTTAAGTTTTAGCATGTTATATATAGGCATCTCTATAGCATATGGGAGTAACTTTACTTTCTACAATTAATTGTGTAATTTAACTAAAGCTGTTTACCTTACTCATATTCAGGCCACTTCCTGATGAACCAAAACATCTAAAATGTGAGTTAAAGGGAGGAAAAACAGTGCAGATGGGCCAGGAGCTTCAAGGAGAAATAGGTTAGTATGGTCTACTTTGTTTTTTGGTATTTGCTTACATTACCCTTTTTTTGTACACAGAATCTGAAAGGTAAGCTTTTGGCAATACCTTCAAAGTCAGTTTGTCAAAAATAAGTTTTAAAAATCCTGACTTTTGGAAGTGGCACTCTGGCCCAAAGTGCTAGAGCTCTAGCCTTGAACAAAAAAGATCAGAGAAAGCACCTGGGCCCGTAGTTCAAGCCCCATGACTGACCAGTCTCCCCTCCCCCCCTCCCAGTGGCTCACACCTATAATTATAGCTATTTAAGAGGCTGAGATTTTAGAATCTTGGTTTGAAGGAATCCCTGGCAGTCAAATCTTAAGAGAGCCTTCTCTCCAGTCAGCCAGCAAAAAGAACTGGTACTGGAAATACAGCTCAAGTGGTAGATCCCAGCCTTGAACAGAAAAGCCTAGTGAGGGCTGGGAAGGTGGCTCAGTGGTAGAGCGCTTGCCTTGCAATGCATGAGGCCCTGGGTTCGATTCCTCAGCACCACATAAGCAAAAATAAAAGCCGGAAGTGGCGCTGTGGCTCAAGTGGTAGAGCACTAGCCTTGAGCTGAGGGACAGTGCCCAGGCCCAGAGTTCAGGCCCCACAACCGG